GGTGGGGTGGGGCATGTTAACGTTCGGTTGCACTTGCTGCATGAAGTGGATGCTGTGTTCAGTTGCTGCGCCAAAGCTTGACCTATGCCACACCGGCTCAGTTCTTGCGCTGCTTGGAGTAGCTCTTGTGAAGACTGAAAAGTCGCAACTTTTTTCCGACGGCCCAATTACTTACGTGGTTTCGAAAATGCTTCGAAATCAGCATTTCGCCTCAGCGAAACTCTCATTTCAAGCAAATCTGCTTGGAATTGACCATGGTTCCACTGATGAAACGTTGGGCAGATCATTCCTAATGGAATTATGCACATTTCGACATGATTAACCCACGACCATCATTGATTTACACCACGGCCGTCTATCCGCCGTGTACCTAGTTCCTTTCCACTGCAGTTCCCTTGATCGTACTCCCACTCGGAAGTGCAGAGGCTGAACAATCGGCCCGGGATGATGGGGAAATCGTAGCTTCAGCAGCATTGTGCTCCTAGATTAAGGGAGTCTGTCTTAGTCACCTCCAGACTATACACCCGCGGAGCAGATAGGATATCCTGCACCCACAACACTGCCACTAGTTGTCCAGCTCCTTCCTCATGCGCGGCATTGTTGGTTGATGGCCTTTCTTGATGCTGCTGGAAGCCATAGGCGCTATGGCATATGCTGGCCTACTTGGGGCCTTTTCCAAGTGCCAGTAGACAAAGCCTTGGAGCTTCCGCTTCGTCAAATGTCAATACGGCATACGGCAGCCCGCGCAATTCAGCGTGCTTTCCGCACTCATTTGCAGAAGTTCTGGTGGTGGCAAGTTGCCTCAGTCAGGGAAGAGGCACGCATTCGACATGTGTCGGTGCGTGATGTCTCCGGCACATCACCATGCCTTTCAACAGGGCAGAGTCTGCAAAGAAGATTCAAGCTTGGCTCAGGGCATCTCAGGGCAAATGCTGGGAATGCTTACAGCGATAGCCGCGATGATGATTCCAGCTTTGACGTCGACGATTCTGAAGCATCCTTTGCCAAAGACTTTGCTCTCGCTGCGGAAGAGCGGCTGATAGCGATATGGTGGATCATGGTGGATCACTTGTCGCCTACTGGCAAGGAGGGCCTGAGGATCATTCTTTCAAGGCTGGAGGCCCTACTAAAACAAACTCTCTTTGTTGGTGCCCGTGCAGCTGGAGCCTTCCGGGTCTTCTCAGGGCTTCAGCTGGTGAACTGTAAGGGGCCAGGCCTGGAAATCCTGGGGTGTGGGTCAATACGTCGCTCGGGCGGCGGGCGGGCGGTCTTTCAAGCTGCAGTCGCATACGCGCGCCACAACGATATTCCATTCCTAATATGGTGCCCATTGTGGAGCGATAGTGGGGAGGCACGTTCTTTCTGGCGACACTGAGTTTGTCGAGGACGAAGAGCTCCAAGGCCTCTGGCTGCACCGCAAATATCCCGCGTGCCGTTGCTACGCAAAGCTGCGTCGACAAGCGGCAAGTTGTAGGCAGGATTTCAGCGGGGTGCACGCGCTACGGCTTGGAACCCGACGAGGTCATCAATGTGCTGCTCACGAAGACAACCCTGGCCACATTGCCAATGTTGCTGTGGCTTTGAGTTGTTGAACTTGGCGCAGGTCCAATAAAGGAAAGGTTCTCTCTGCCCACCGAGGGAAGATTACAGAGCGTGGAAAGATAGAAATTCAATCGAAGTGCCTAGCAGGCGGTCACAAGACTTGTATAGAGACCGCAATAAAGATCAATATGGAAAGTTTCATGTATATAAATGTATATAAGAGGTTCGTCAAACTGCTTGATTCGAATTACCGTGCGTTTTTTGAAATTGTGTCAATGCCTTCAGGTTGGTCCCCGCCGCATGTCTCAGCGGTGGACAGCCGAGGTGTTGCCGTAACTGAATTTGTCAAATGTCTGCACCAAACTGTGATAGGTCGGAACGAATCTGAAACCTACGCTATTCCAATGTATTTGGCCAACTACGACGTGTCTCAGCTACAGACACGAATTGGCTGTAATTCGTTAGCCATGAATAAGGAAACTTGTCCGCTACGGCTTGAGGACGCTCCATTGTGGCAATGAACAAGAAAATGCAAGCCGGACAAATGAAGAGATCCCAAATTAAAGGTACACCCATTGGCAGGGGTCTCATCAACTGAAGAGATCGTCGCGCAAAAGCAAGTCATAAAAGCACCATGGAATCCACACGACCCATCCAGGACCAGAAACAAGCGATGCCAAGTTAAGAAACAACTGACATGTGCTGTATTGTGCTGTATTTGCACCTGTCCAGGAGAAAAAATTGGAAATTCGTGACACCAACGATTGGTTGCTAACAGCTCCACAAGTCACACACGTCAACTTATAAGTCACTAAACCTAAACCCGAGTTCACTGAACCGGTAGTTGGTAGTCAATCCTTTTTGCTTTCAAGGTCCCCTCTTGCTTCACCAGACGCCGGTGCTTGAACACCGCTGGACGGAGTTGAGCTCGAGACTTCGGAGTGATCCCTCAGGCGGAGCTGGAAGCAGCCAACGTTTTTAGGAAAGAGCTGGAGGAGATGAGGTGGGAGATTTGGCGGGAGTCTTGGACTTGGTGCTTTTCCAGCTCTCGTGCTGGAGACTTGGTGACCACATAGTCCATACCCTCTGACTCACTAACATGGAAATGGAAAATGGTCACTTGGAAGACCTTCCTCTACCAGCGGGGGGTTTTCCACTTCCGTGTTGGTGAGTCAGAGCGTACTCGTGATTGAGATGGCCCCTCCCGTCTTTTTCTTGAGGCTGAGTTGGGTATAAGAAACAAGGGGGGGCATCACCACCAGCAGTCACAAAGGGGTGCTTTCCACAGAGGTTAGGGGTGCCCATTATCCACTCACTTGGGGACTAAACACCACCCCGTCTTGCGACTCCTGGCAGTTCCTTTTTTTTTTTGGCCAGGTGTGGTATGTACTGCAGAGCCCGTAGAGCTTTTGATCGTAGGGCGCGTGTTCTGCCTGCAGCGACCTGCCCGTACACTGCACCTATTCCCGGGAGCGAGTTCGAACGTGAGGGTTCCGCCTCCGTGACCGCTTCAGAAAGCACGGTGCCTGCCGTTTGCCCTGCGCGCGCGTGCGCGCGATCAGGCGCCAGTTGAAGGCTGCAGAGGCCACCGAAGCGGAGCTGACCTCGCTTCGGCAGCAGCACTTTGCCCTGCAGCACCGGCTGATGAACGAAACCAGGCGCAAGCGGTTTGAGATGAGAGTCAAGCAAGAAGAACTCCGGCCGGCATTTGAGATGTGAAGCATTCTACGCCGCTTTCAGCGTTTTTTGGGGCCTGCCTACCCAGTCAGTTGATAACCTTTCAACAACCCTTTTGCAAGAGAGGTTTCCCCCCACGACAGCAAAAAGGCATCAAAAGGCTAATTAACCACATTGTTCCAGGATGTTCCAGGCAAACTGATGAGGTCAGGCAAACTGGTGGATTTATTTCATTCAAGTTGGTGAGTGGGTGAAAGACCCGGAGAAGAAGGGTACTAAGAAGGGTGATAATTCTTCGAAAAAGAAGTCGTGGAAAAACGGGCGTGTGGAAGAGCTCTGCGTGCGGTCTTTGGGGGTTCATATGTTGGGGCCACATGGCGTGATTGGTCAGCGAAGATGGAGACGGGCGACAGGGCGGTTCTGAAGATGTTGGAATCCTTGCCAGAAGCACCCCTACAATTTTGCATGAGGCAACATGCACCCTTCATGACTGGCCCAGCACCTCATGACTGCTGCCCTTTTCCCATCGACCTCACCCACCTGCCTCCCCCTTTTTCGGTGCCTCCAGGCTACGGGAGGAACTGAGGCGACGGGCGGAACCGGCGGGAGGAACCGGTGGAAGATCTTTTGATTTCCTAGGGCTCCTGGCGCGCCTCCTGAGAAGATGGCTATGGTGGGTGCCGGGGGGCGTCTAACCACCGGTCACCTAAGGAGATGGGCCCAGACCAGGAGCCCCTTCCGGACTTGCCACGAAGATCCTGAGTTGGTTTCGGTTGGTCCGGAGGGGTCAAGAGGGAATGTTGTTTGGATTCTGATTGAGGTGAGGGATGCTTTGGATTCTGCTGGAAGCAACCCGAGAAAGGGATCAAGTGCATGCCTGAGCAGCAGATGGAAGCCTTGACGGGCCAGTTGGGTTTCCAGCCAAGTCGTTAACATGTGTCAGGCGGACGATATTCATTATACTAAAGTGCAAATCCAGTGCCATCCAGTGTTCAATTGGGGGTCAATGTTCAGATTCTATTCTTAAGCAGTTTTTGAAGCCCTAGGGCCCTAGGGCTCCAACCACCTCCTGAGAAGGTGCTTGGGGTGGGTGCCAGGGGGGTCTAACCACCGAACCTGAGGATATGGTTGGAGCCCTAGGGGAGAATCAATTTGCCCAACCGTGTTAACCAGGGACCTCGACCACTTTCTCACAGCCGCTGCATGGACAGCTTGCCCTCACCACAAGGCGGGCGGCCGCGAGAAATGAACAACGGCACCTTGGCTTGCCTTGGCGTCTATGACCACATTACTGTCGGAAATGCAGAGGTGGCACGCACATACCACACATGGTGCAACGTTTCCCTGCAGTTATAATCACAGTTAACCCTAGGGCTCAAGTCCTACCTTCTCAGAAGGGCACATATAGAATATAGACCGTCCAAACCCCTCCAAACCGCATCCAACACCTTCTTGGGCAGTATTTGGGCTCTGGGACTATGTGAAGAAATGCAGGCTATAGACAGGGAAAGTCTATTTGGAGCTGACGGCTCACGGTGAAACACCTCTAACCGCCTGTCAACCGTGGAGGGTTCTCGTTTACGACGGCTCCATTGGATTTTTTTTTCGCCACTAAGGCCACATCCAGGACAAGAACTGGCATCCTGAAGGGAGCCCTGTTCCTGTCATCCTAGCGGGTTCCAGGATTCCTCGACTGCGCCCTGTGCCCCAATACGTGGTGCACAGAATGGATGGAAGTGACAGATACACAATGATACACGTTATATACTATAGATTCATATTAATCTATATTATATTTTGCAGTTGAATTGTGCTCATTTGTCCATTTGTGGTGTATTGTGATATTGTTTGTAGATGTGTTGTTTGTGCAGAATCATACGTACAAGTGACAAGTGCTTTCTTGTGATGATGTTTACTATAGTTTGACTCGCTTGAGGATCCAGGACCTTCATTGCTGAGTAGGTCTCAGCATACCTTCCGTCGTGCATGGCGCACGGTGGGTTTTTGCGCGCAGGACCACGAAGTGCGACTGCTGGCAAAAGAAGCTGCAGAAGCGTTCGATTGCTGTGATCAAGCAACTGTGTTTCTTAATATTCGGGTTCGGTTCTTGGCCAGAAAGCCTTAGAACTCAACAACTATACTGTAAGCCTTTGTTCGCAACCCTGGAGCCAGCAACCAGCCCCGCATTCCATTTATCATACGTATAATGGGTGCATTTCATGCGCCTTGTGCCAACTATATATTCAACCCGTTATACGTGCATTGAAGAGGCTTGTTGGATATGAATCTTCGCACCCAAAAGGGGTGCCATTCAAATAGATTCAAGAATCCATCATGGCTGTCTCTCCAGGTTCCCACCCCACGAAACCTCCATTCATCACCGGCATGTCTCCTAAAAGAAGGAAGAAGAAGAAGAAGAACAACAACAACAACAACTACTACTACTTCCCTCACCCAACCCGTCCAGATTCCCAGAATGTCCCATCCCCCAAGACGGGGCTCGGCGCTCTCGGCCCCTCCCCCATCATCGCCCTGACCCATCGCCCAACCCGGCGGTCTGACGTCGCACGTTTGCACAGGTCGTGGTGGACTGCCGGGGACACCTGCTGGGACGCTTAGCCTCGGTGCTCGCCAAGGAGCCGCGGAAGCGCGGCGCGTCTCGGGAGGGGCCGGCCGAGCGTTTCGCCTGGCCTATAGGAGCTCCTGAACGGGCAGAACGTGGTGTGCGTGCCGGGAGCCCGGGAGCCAGACGTTCAGCTGGTGGTTTGAAGAGAAGCACTCTGCACATGATGCCCCTCAATTCCCAGCGCCCGACTTCTTACATGTTTTTTCGTTCAAGGGTGTTATTGGACCCCATTCCATTCCACTCATAGCGGGCCAGAGATATATAATATATATATATCTCACTAGGTGGCCTGGCAGTGAGGGTGCCAGGTGAAACTCACATGGCCACCTGGTCGAATCATGGCACCAATCCTTTCGGCAGGAATACTGCTGTGTTTGTCTAGCTGGTGCTCAGTGTGTCATAGGGTATCCATTTGGTTAGGGTCTGTCCCATTACCTGTACCAGTCAGTACACAATTAATAACAATCATGTTTGAACAAGGCCTGCAACTGAACCATCATCATCCACTGGGCCCAGGTAATCGGATAGATCGGATAGACCCAACATAGATCGGATAGACCCAACATAGATTAATAGATCGGATAGACCCAACATAGATCGGATAGACCCAACATGTTGTATCCATCTTCCCCATCAAAATCATTAAACAGGGAACCAAGGAGCTACTGGGAGTCTCCGCGGTTTCACCTTGCCAGTTGTTGGACAAGAGAACAAGTTCCTCAACCTAAACCACAACTCTTTCATACTCTTTGAGCCTGCCTGTCATCATCACTCGCAAGCATCTCCTGCTGTCGACCACGGCCGCTGGGTAAACTCTGTGAAACTCTTCTCGTGGGAGGCGGGCAGAGGACATCAACATCAGTGGATCCTTGTACCGCAACAAGCTGAAGTACGCCGCTCGGCTCCCACCCAAGGCCCCGCTTCCCAAGCCCGGCTCCCGCCCGCGTCTCGACGAGTTTCGCGGTTGGGGCAACGTTCGGTGGGTGTGCTGGGTGTTCTTCCCCTAGGGCTCCAACCACCTCCTCAGAATGTAGTTAGACCCCCCAGACCCACCCCTGGCCCGAACCTCAAGGTGGGCCAGGAGCCCTAGGGTTATCTCCAGTCGGAGGCTCTGTTGGGTGTGGATTGGTTTCACGCGCGGGGGGGAGGAACATGGGGATCGATGAGGGGGTTCCAGCCGTCGGTGGCCTCCAAGGACAAAGGGGGGTCCAGGGCACTCCAATGGAGAGGACAGACTGGATGACCCGAAAAACCTGGAGCTTCCATGATCTTCCAAGCTTTTCCAACGACTTGTATGCGAAACTTCTGCCTGTTCATCTCTCATTAAAAACCCACCCAAAGACAGGAATTCGGCATAGTTGGAAGAGGTGTCTCAGATCCCTGAGAATTTTCCTGATGAAAGGGCGACGGCCCTGATGGTGGGAGTTCGGGCGGTGGCTATGCGATAAGATTCCTGGCCCACCATTGATTTATGTCTTAGCGAACAACCATTGTTTTACTCAGGCAAGGGTCCGGGTACTGCTACAGGCATGAAGAACAACCCTTCAAGTGGCCAGGGGTGGTTGACCTGGAATTTCATGTGCGATGATGTGGGTATAGCCGTGTGGGAATAGATAGAAGGCACAAGAAAACTTATGTTAATGCATGCACATATGAACATAATCCACAACCAAGGAAATTGATTACAGAAAGTGATGGTCAGAAACAGCGAGAAAGAAAACACCATGCATACAGACAGCGGTTGCCCAAAAGAACAGAACTGAATTATGTATGATCTAAATGTTTGTTTTTAGGATTCTTGCAACTCAGACTCTTAGGACTCAGACTCTTAGGACTCTTGCAACTGTTTCAATTGCTGCCACCTTCCAAATAGCCTTCCAGCGGTGGGAATCAGGAGCTTTGTCATAGCAGAATTTTCTCGATTGGAACTCCTTGGAATCTGCAGATGGTGCTTACTTGAAGAGGTAGATCATGTAAGATCATGTAAGGAATAGATTCCAGGATGGGTGTGCAGACGTGGTGTCAGCGCAGACACCACTAAGTTGGCGCACGTAAGGCAAACTTCAAGCGGAAGCACATGAACACCAACCCTCGGCAGGGCCCCTTCCACTTCCGATCGCCGGCAAAGATCCTGTGGCGTCCCTCGTCAGCGAGTGGTTGGCGGGTGAGTGGTGGACGCCCGAAATCACTTCGCTTGCTCTGGGTGCGGAGAAAGGCATGCTATGCAATAATCATATAGTCAGAACATGATACAACAATTATCATTGAAATTCTCAAACCAAACATGGACCTATGGGATGCTTTTAGGTTGTCATGTGGGTTGTGCCACTAGCATTGACAGTAGCCCCTGAACATAGGGCTGCACAGTACTTGGAAACTCTCATTTGCCCCAAGTCTTAGGTGTCCTATACCCAAGTCTTGATATATGAATCCCAGGATGCAGCGTCCCTGAAGCCAAACTCTCGTTGATGAACCGCTCAACCGCAGCCATCAGGCACGGTTCGTGGCATGGTGCCCCACAAGACGGCGAGAGGCGCGGCAGCGTTGGACAAGTTGAAGACCTTCGAGGGCATTCCGCATCCTTATGTTCCTGGGACTGCAATCCCAAACACTCCATGGGACTACCATCTATGCCGAGAAACGGGCGTTCGGGGTGGTGCGTTCGAGGGGTCTGGCTGTTTCTCGGCAGTCCGTCCTGCCAGTCCCGTGAGTCGTGTCTGGGACTGTTCGTCGTTTTAGATAAGACAGGTGCTCGATTCCGAGGTTGAGGGACCACAACCCTAGAGTCGTACATGGATAGGCGAAAAAGGGCTGTGAAAGGCCTACAACCATAGGTTCTTTGGGTTTCTTTGGGGGTGATCATGTCTGTAAAGGCCTACAACCACGCCAGAGAGAGTTTCGAGAGCCGTTTAGAACTTTGGTGCCTGTAGATTTGAATTGGTAAGGACGCCTGGCAACCACAAGGCCTTCGGACTTAGCAGCGTTCCAGTTTACCGTAAATCCCAGTGAGTATTGTACTTAAGTCCTGGCAACTGTGGCTACCACAACCATTTGCTATACCAAGTTCAGTCTTGAGGATGCCTGCCCGAAAGACTCAGATCGTTTGTGTCTGGAATTGGAATTGCTGTTGTTTCATTTCATGTGACGTCCTTGAAAGATCATACACGGGGGTACATGTTTGTAATTCCATTCTTGGCCTGAAAATAGCTCTGTTGACTCAGATCCCCGCCAGCAGTTGCCTTGCTCTCCTTGCCAAGGACCGCAAGAAGAGGATGGTGGTGCCCGGGTGCCCAGCAGCAGCTGCCATGCCGGCCATGATCCAGATCGTGGGACATGAGAGGCTATCGCGACTATGGAATATGAACTTTGATATGTATTTTATAATCATGTTATCATATAGATGCAGTAGTAATAGATGCATTTTCCATGTTACCAGCAAATCCCGAATCAATGTCTTTGGGGATTTGGGGGTATATACCAGGACCCACAAGGGGTGGTTAATGGACACCCCTTAACATCTAAGGGGCTATCAATAGAAGCCCCTGAGGGGGTCCTGGTACTGATTGCTGCTCAAAGAACTTTACTGATTTAGATACTGAACTACCTCTCCAAGCCCCGAACCTACTCCAGCCGCTCCCCTTCTTCGCACCGGCCAAGGCCTAGCTGCTTGAAGGTCCTGCGCTTGCGACCGGAGCGCCGCTTCTGCCGCCTGGGCGACCTCTCCAAGGAGGTGGACTGAGACCGGTCGCGGTCGGGCTGGGAGGGTGGTCGGTGTGGGAAGGTGGCGGAGGGTTTGCTCCAAAAGGAGGTGCCAACACATCTTTAATCCAACTTGGTTCGTGAGTCGGAGGGAAGATGAAGATAGAACTCCACCAAAAAAAACAAACAGTGTCATGGTGTCGCAGGTTGCTTTTGAGTCCATGTTTCGGTCTTTTGCCTTTGATTCTTCCGAATGAGGCAGTGTTTGGGCGGATGGACTTGGGCGGCTTTCACTCCCCACCCCTGTTGGGGTTGACCCGCCGGGTCGGGGGTCGAGCTGAATCCGCCGCCCCAGGTGGGTTGGAAGCATGGTGCCTTGATCCAACGCTTGGAGAGCCAGCGAAAGGTGAAGAGCGAGGCCTTCTATAAGAAGAAGGCCAGAGAATCTGAAGGATTGGATCCACAGAATATCCTCTTAGAAGGTGATGCGACTGAGTGATGTGGGTGCCGGAGGTGCCAGGAAAGGTGGATCACCTGCAAAACATGGCAAAACAATGCGACACCTGTTTCTTTGGGTGCGGGTTGGCGGATTCGCCCTCAGCGTGGGTTGGTGATACACTCCTCACCTGACATCTTGAGGCATGTTGAACTGTGGATGGCGCCGCTAGTTACTAACCATATACGACATCTTACAACTGAATTGGTTCAGTTCTTGATATCGGATGTATATAGGTAGCCTTTGCTGCTAGAAAACCCTTCTGATCTCTCGCAGGCCAATCGGTTCGACGTTCGGAACCTACGAGTTCCCCGCCAGGCGGCCACCCACCGACAACGGACGAAGGCACCGCTTCGACCGGACCGTGACGCGCGGGGCTTCGTCATGGTTCGTTGCGGAGAGCCTCCCGAAAACGATCCCAGGGGCGGGGCCCGCGCGGGGTCGTCGTTTTGGGCACCCTGAAAGACGGTTTTCCTCTACAAATGAGTGATGTTCAGGGTCCATGTTGCGTAGTTTTACAGCGGGGTACATGTTGGAGGCCATCGCTCCTCGTTGACTGTCACTAGATGTCAGGAAGCAAAAAGATACATCTGATGTTCATTTACCAACGCCTCGCCGCTCACCTTGAGGAATGGCCTCAAAAAACGGGACCTAGTGGCAAGAAGCTGCTAGTAGCTAGAAGCTATTAGGGGCTCCTGGCCTTACTACTAGGAATAAGGACGCTACTAGGGGCTCCTGGCATCGCTACTAGTACCTATATACTCGGCCCTTTGTTGAAGGCGCCAGGTGGCCTCGGTGGTCTCGGTGGCCTCGTCCACCTCCGCTCCGCTTCTCCTCTAATAGCGATGGCCTCCACTCTAGAAGAGATGGCCTCCAACATAGTTAAGTTTCCCTAACAATCTAGGAACCAAATCATTAGTGCGCGAGCTATCCTGCGTCCTAGGTAGTAGCACTGGTGGTTTTGGGTGGTTAAGGTAGGCCATATATGGCCATATTGGCGACACGGAGTGTCATAGGGGTGTGCAGTTTAAGAGTGAGACCCCCAGGCCCAATGGGTATATAGAATGGTCACAAGTAGTGTCACAAGTATATCCCAGACACTCCATGTATGCCATATATGCCTACATTGGGGTGTGTAGGCATATATGGCATACATGGAGTGTCTGGGTATTGTACCTGGCATCAACCCTCTACTGTATTGTTTCCCAAGGGCATCGGTGTGGCTGAGGGATGGGTGAAAAGCTGTTGAACGCTTCGGAGAACTCAGATGCAAGGGGACTGAAGATGCATCGCGTCACCTTTGGGAAGTGTCTTCAGTCCAGCCTCGAGATCAAATGTGTCGAATGACTGACCACCGGAGCAGGAGCCGGAACAAACCACACTCAAGCCAACTGAGCTTACTGCATCTGGACCATGTTTTACTCCTTCACCTTGGCAACGGCTTGTTGTTACAGTAGAAGAAGTCACATGTGATGAGTTCTGTGCATTCTTCTTTTGCAGGCAAGAGAGTGTCCAGTTCGACCATATTTGGCCCATTTGGGCCCCAGTGAAGTAAAGGAGGCTCTTTTGGAGATCACCTACACAGACCATTATTGTAAACAGTTTTTATATAGTGGATTGAGAATAGATGGCACAAACCCCAAGAGGTGGTTTATGTGGACCCCCATCTAAAGGATATCTTGGGGACTGTGCCATCTACTCTGAAAACACTGTACATATAGTCTGGTTGGTAATTAACGAAGAACCACACAGGGACATTTGTGGACATCCAATTTGGATACCCTATTTTGCCACTTGGTAAAAAGATAATTGTACCTTAAGAGTGAATCCAATATATTCAATCCGGAATTGTGCCAAGTGCCAAGTCCTGTACCTAATAAGTGTGGTGAAGACTTCTTGAAACATCTGGAATTCTTGGATTCTGGCACAGATTCCCAGCACTCTTTCCCAGAATCTTCCCAGAAGACATGACATATCTGTTCCAATTCCCAGCACTGCGTGCCACATCTTTTCTGCGGAAAACCCGCATGTCACTTGTAGGCCCTGGCCGCCGTGAAGCTCTCGAGCGATGAGCAGAAGGTCTTGGAAGCCGCTGGCTACGTATGACGGTCGACGCCCACGATGATCAGACGACGAGAGCGAGTTCACGCGCGGGGGGAGGAGAAAAAGGAAGCCGCCCAGCTGCGCCACATGGTGCCACTCCAGCAGCAGCCGACGAGACCACAGGTCTCTTCTGAAGGCTGATGTGGAGATCTTAAAAGTGGTAGATGGTGACCTGATTTGTTGGAGGGCATTGATAGATGTCACGATCACATTGCAAAAGTTGAATGTTTCAGTTTGCGCCGACATTTGGATTGGCTACACCCCCCGCCAAACCAATCATTTGCATTGCTCCACATTATGAGGCATGGAATAGTGACCAACATTTGGTTGCATCAGCACTTTTCTATACAAGGATGCTTTGGGATTGTCCTTGCCAGTATTTGCTCGTTTGATGTCATCCAGTTGCGATATCCGATAAGACTTGAATATGTTGTCAATCGATCAGTTCGTTCTTGCTCGTTCCGAATTTGCAACCTCCCACAACATGTATATGGCGCAAAGTGAGATGGCTTAATGAGGCAGCGAAGGGCGGTGATTTGATCAACGTGGAAAGGGATCGATGCGACGAGCCTTAGCGTTATGCGTTGCTAGCCGACATCCAGCTACCCCAACAGATCTGGCCTCTTTCTCGCACCACGGCGTCTCCGGATGATGTTGATGTTCGTTCGGGCTTTCCATGCACCAAACAGACCACATAGTCCAACTAAGCAGAGAGAACCCGCAGGGGGCGCATCTCCGCCTTCTTCCGCTCGCAACGTCCCCGCCGCGCCGGGAACCGCGCTGGCCGGCGCGCTCCCGGAAGCGTTTCCCGTCGCCTTCTGGGGATGGCCTACTTGGGTGAAGCGAAGAAGCGGCGGTGGCAAGAGCTACTGCATCAACTCCAAGAGGCGACCGGGGGGCGCGACCGGCAGCGACCTGCGCGGGATGCTGTTGGACGAGGTTGGCAGAAGCACCCGGGAAGAGGGACGGAACCTGAAAGCCACAACTACGGCTTGTGGAGGAAAAGAGCCTTCCAAAGGTAGGTTCCTTTTATATATGTCCATGTCAGTTTTCGGGAGTGCATTTACAAAACACCTGTGTACATATTGGATTATGTTGAGATGACTGTTGAGATGTGGAAGATTGTAAAACATACCCATGGCAATCTGTCAGGGTGGGGTGCAAGACCCCCCACCCTGTACTGCCAAGGGTGTTTGTAAAGCCGTTCTGGAGATCGGTGGTTTCTGGAATCGCACTGTCAGCAGTATACTGATGCCGGCGCAAACCTCCTGTGGTCTACGGCGTCTACGTGTAGATGGCAAGTCGTCGAAGTTCGTGTAGACCGAGCCTAGTGACTCCTGACATCTCCTAACCATCCGCCATCAGAGCCTCAGTGAGTAAAGCAAGTTGACGATCCACTGGATTTAAGGGAGATGTTTTTCCTGGTTTTTTTCCGACTTCTTCACACTTGGTGGACGTCCTGACTTCGGTTTTCACCGGCTTCCCATTCCTTGGTGACCGTCCACCACCGACTCGTCCTCGTCCTCGTCCTCCCGACTTCGGGACCCCCAACCCGGTGGACTCGACCAGTGGAACGAGCGGGGTCGCCAAGGGGTCGCCAAGGGTCCTCTTCCCCTGGAAGTCAAAGACCATTTTTTAAATGGTTGATCTCGTTTTGTAGTGTAAAACCCTTAGTAAAACAATAGTTGTTCGGTAAAAGAATGGTGGTTCGACTTCTAGGGCTTCCCCATTTGTACCAGCGGGAACGCAGGAGCGAGCGACAGTTCCGGCCACCCCAACCCTGGCGATGGCTCAGCCAGACCGTCGGTTTAGAGTCCTCTCCGTGCCCAAAAATGGCCCGCGAACTGGACTTCGGCAAGAGCTCAGGTCAGGAACCCCCAGAGGGTGATGTGGAAGGCATGAAAGCAAGTTGCTCAGAGATAGTAGCCCATCCACACATGCGTCGCGGGCGGGCCAGGAGCTGGAGAAGCAATCCACGCGTTTGGAGCATTTGGAAAAGATTGCTCCTTGAGCTTGATGATCCAGGATGAGGTGCTGAGAAAGCCTACCCCTAGTGTAGACCGATGATTAACAAAACAACATTGGGTGGTTCCATTTGGATATTTTGGGGTTGTAAGACCCCTTCATATGGGGAGGCTTTGTTACTCAACAGTCTACATTCTTCCTTGGTTCAGACAGGGCTGCTCTACGTAGACTGCTGGCTGTTACTGGTGCATCTAGTCCTAGGGGCCTATGGGCGTGAGATATCTAGGACCTGCGAGGGGGCCAAACCTCCTACAGTAGGATCTCCGGCAGTTGGAGGATGCTTAGGCTCAATCCCTTCTGGGGGGGGAAGTTACGTATTGGTCCCGGTTTCTCCAGCAAATTCGAGAATCCATACCGCTAGTAGGGCCTAGGGATGGTGTCTCCAACCTACTAGGGATGGTGTTCTGCCCTAAGAGCGATGGCCTCCAACCTTCGAGAATCACCTGGGATTGAAGAAACGCGACGTCGCTCCAGCGCCTCCCGCCTCGCCGGTCAGAGACCCGCCGGGGACCAGCCGATTCCGACTGGAGACCCGACTGGACTGACGTCGTGTTGACGTGGCAGGAAACGTGTCGTGGGAGATGTGTCGGGTGGTTTCGGGGTTTCGGTGTTTCGGCATATGTTCCAGTCCCATGGAGTGGGCAGGGCAGGAGACGGAAGCAGCGCAAGTGCTTCCGGACATAGATGTGTGGATTCCGCCCTTTTCCACGTCCGACCACGAACGCTCGCTGGTTGACCAGGAATATATACAGATGTTTGTAGTAGCTTTTTTTTACACACATGTCTGTGTGTGCAAAGACAATGAAAAGAATGTGTGACCTGCTTTTGTAGGGTAGAACTCCTTAGTATGGTTGTTCGGTAAAGGATGGTAAAGGCTATAAAATCCAAGGTGGTTCGAATCCTAGGGTGTATATTGCTCAATTGATGTTTAACACCAGCGCATTTACAAGCTCTCTTCCAGTATAAGGTCCCTACCCGACAGAGCTTGTATATTGACCAGCAAGTTCATGTCGTCATGTGCTCGATGTAAATCCAATACCGGTCAGACCTGACCTGACCAATGTTCATGAGGAAGCGAGCGCTAAGCTTGAGAGGGTGGACTCAGACTATGGAGCCCATTCCGCAGCAATCACCTTCACTGTCCCTTGGATGGAGCGAAGCGGATGTCGGTCAGACGTCTAATTAGATTGGTGATTCTGAAGTGAAGGGAACTGCTTAAAACCCAAGCATAACTTGGCAGGAGGGGGATTTTGGACAACTCAAGTCATCCCAATCCATCAAAGTAATATAATTGGATTTACTCTCTCCAGAACTTACGGGGAAGTATATAGTTTTCCTATCATATTCCTCGTTTAGCATTTTACTGGAGGGTCTGCATGTCATATTTTTGTGTTGGGAATGACTTCTTCCTCGTAAGTTTGACATGCTAAACTTGCTAGACTTGCTCGACTTCCTCGTTTGTCAGTGCAAAAACTAGAATGTCCAGAAGCATCTAGCAAACAAAGAAGCCTACCATTTTTTGTCAACTATTCCCGGGGATTTACATGGTCACCAACTTCCTCGTAAACAGCGTCCTCGCCGAGATTTGCTTCCTCGTAAGTTCTGAGGAGTGTATTGAATCTTGAAACGGACACAGGTGGCTATGGGTCAAAGCCTGAAGCAGCTGTGGAGAGCCAAGCCTCAAAACCATGGTAGGCTGGTATTCATTGAAGAGAATTCCGTTAGCAACGGCTCTACATGCCTGGTTTCGCTTAGGGTGAGCTCCAAAATCCCTAGAATGCTCTTCGGACGTTGGTTCTTTGGTTCCAATTCTAGCAAGTCCAAGCACACCAACATCATCCAACATCCCAGTCAAAGCCCAAGGGCAGGGTGGTGGTGCCACCGTTCGGTGGCCCAAGCTGCGCTCCCACCAAGCGCCGCCTTGATCCCTGGTAGGTTGACCTGCACCTCCCAGGCAGCTCCTCCCCAAGGTATCGCCATGAGCCAGCCATCAATCATGCAGGCCACCTTTACACTCTGGAAGATTAACATGGAACCTGAAAACCACCGGTTTGTAGAGGAAAGTAGTCTTCCAAAGGTCCATTTTCAGGTTCCATGTCGGCCTCTTCCTGGGTGTAAATCCCATGGATCGTTTAGGGTATGCCTACATGGACCCTTCGCCATCGCATGTGCCCATCGCATGGACGTCGCCGCCCTGTGGCCCATGCATCTCCCCCCCAAAAACGGCTGGACCTTAAAAGGCCTTTGAAAAGCGGCTTGCTTTCAGAAGGGGTTTACGGTTCGGTGACGGTGTTTCACCATGTCCAACACGTCACCTTCATAAAGTTAGATGAAGGGCATCAACCGAACTCCTTTTTGTTGGCACTTTTGGACTACTTTGCTTGACCTTACTGGAAGCCGACAAGAAAACATCCTCATAAAGACAAAGTTTGTGGATCCCTGTGGCCAGAAATCATCGGTCTCCAAGTCCCCCCCAACGGTTGGCGGCCAACGTCCGGGCGCCATGCCATCCCAGGGCATGAAGAGCTATGCCATCCCAGCACAGGTGGGGCGAGCTTTCTTCGTGCCGCTCGTGCCGCTGTGCGGCGGTCGTCCGAGGTCTTGAAAGGCACCTAAATGGTGGGAGCGCGGGGGGAAGTCCATGTGCACAATGAATGTGTTTATGTTTTTATCAGCTGGGGTGCGGTTTTTTTAACTATTCTCCTTCACTGCCTATGAAAGGCCGTGACGGACAGGGACCGCAAGTCGCGCTATACTATTCTCAATCATATGCAATCGATCGCCTGGCTTGATGTGACTTGGCCGTTTCTTGAAGCCTCCAAGCCACTTCTATCGGGAACACGTTATCCACAGAAGGGGACGATTTGTGGATGAGATTGCAAGGGCACTCCATGTATGCCATATATGCCTACATTGACCCCCCCACATATATGGCAGTCCCATGGAGCGTTTGGGTTGTAGGGAGCGGAGATGTTTTGTACCCCTTCCAGCTGGTGTTGCCAGCTTCACATACCAGTTCATGCGTGTGTTGCGAGTTCAATGCGCGAACCCCATAATGCAACCAGTTGACGTGCCTGGACGCTTACGCAAGACGAATTAAACATAGTTAAACCTAGCCTGGCCTTCCTTTCTCCAGGACAACAGTCGGAAGTTCTTGTCGACGGCTCGGCAGGGTCTTGTACCACGGCCGCAATGGTGTTGGGAGTGAGATAACAGGGCCCAAAGACCAAGTGGTTGAGCTGGTTTGGCAGAGTAAAGTCATCCTTAGTAACAAGGTGTTGAGCTGTGGTGGAGCTGGTTTTGTGTTAAATCTCATCTCAGTAAAAGAACCAAGAGAGGTTGAACAGCCCCAGAGTCCATCCCATAATATGCACCACTCACTACAGGGTCCCATGTAAGGTCATATAAGGTCTCTCGACCTCTCTTGGAATGGTAGTAACGATCACTCCTGCATGGAATATTGGCCTACATTGACGCCAAATCAACCACTTCAAAGTTAATCAATTTGCAAAATAATGGCAGTCCCATTGGTCGTGTCTGGGGTGGGTTGTGCGTCCTTCTTTCACACCTCCGACGAACACATCACATGAAGTTCACAGTTCACTGCCGATGTAGTGACATTAGTTCATGTGCAACGGGTAGTGCAAGGGCTCCACCAGCTTCAAACGAGGAGCTCCTTACTTGAACCAACCATTCGAACGGCCACTCGCGGCGTCTCCACCGCAACCGGTCCCGCCTCTGCTGTGATGACCTCACCGGTCTCCCCGGTCTTCACCGGCTCCGCTGTGGCCTCCGGCGCACCGAGCCCAGTCGCGGATGTTCCGCTCGGAGCGCAGCAACTCGCAGACCGACGTGCCGCTGACCGCGCAGCCCTGCTACGTGCGCCCGGCGGGAACGGCGAAGACGACGCCACGGCCGAGCGCGAGGGCGTTGAAGCGGCGGCGGTGCGGTGCTTCAGCACCGGCAGGACTACGGGGGTTGATGGGGACCCCAAGTGACGAGATATGTCAGACTGTTGGACCTGGTGGCACCACCTGAAAATGGGTGGTGTGGGTCGCATGACGACAGTGGGATCCGTGTGCGGTTGTTGTTTGGGAACTCCATGCACGTTGGATATTGTTGGATATTATTAGATCATCTTAGCTGGAATGCTCCAAACCCTGGATTTGGAATGAGAACGATAGGTGATAGGTGAGTCAGAAATGTGACAACACAACGAATAGCCTCACATGGGAACCGCATGGTGCCTGACAAAATATTTGCTCACTGTTGTCCGAAACTCTTGATCTTTGTGTGACATTTTGAGGTGATTAACCCTGATGGCTGCTTCTATCGCAGGATTTGGACGCTTTGAGCAGCAAGGAAAAGCGGGGAAGTGGGGGCCATGGTGCACATCGATTCTACATGAGAAGCACGAGAGCATAGACATTTTCCCTACAAGTCCAGTCCGACCCAGTAAAGCCTGGTCCTTTACCTCCTCGAGTAGTATTTTTGTATGACCAATGTCAGTAAAATGAGCCTGGTTCTTCAAAGTGTCCTTTTCATAATGGTCACTTCAGCCTGCTAAGGGTCACTTAGGAACCTTCAAAGGTCATTGACTTGCAACCTCCAGGAGGTCCCCCCATACATCCCCGTCGACGCTTGAGGTCGGCCCCGGGCTGGGCCTAGGGAGTACTGGTGGTAGGGTGTGGCCTACTGGAAAATGCCTTGCTTCGGACTCCCGGTTCCGGGTCCGAGTCAACGGGCCGCCGGTTTGCCTAGGGGTGTGGCGTCGTACTCTACCTCAGGTTAGGTGAGTTTGGAGGGTCCAGTCGTACCGAGCCTTCTCGAAGGCGCGACTGGATCCGTCACCCTAACCCAGACACTCCGTATGTATGTCATATATGCCGCCCCATTGACCCCTTTGGCACCACCCCAATGTAGGTATATATGCCAGTTTCATGGAGTGTTTGAGTAAAGTTTTGGGGAAGCTCGTATTTTTTCATCCCAATGCCCTATTCGATCCTTTGGGGATGCGTTTTGGCTTCAGGATGCCATGTGACATGCTTTTTAATGAACATATACCAGTACCTTCCAACAGGTGGTGTTTGGGCACCTCTTAACCTCTAAGAGGCTATCTATAGACACCTCTTGGAAGGTCCTGGTACATATCAGTGGAACAATCACGCCGAATAGCCATTCTGACTCCACTGGAAAGAGGGTGAACAAAGGGGTATACATGTTCCCGACTGTTGAGAGACACATGGGAGGGTATTCCCCCGTGTGTTGGTTCAAGCGGAATGACCCGCGGCGACTTCGCCCGACCCGGCAGTGGGCCGGCTTCGCCCCCAAGGCACAGCATCATGCTTTCCGCGTCTGTCTACGTGGCCTTAATCACCCCGGTGCAGGTGGGCAAATACCGATTTGGGAGTCTCCGGTTGGGGTTTTTGTTCCAGTTAGAGGCAGGCGGTGCCTGGACGTGCTTTACCTAGTACTTAGTAACCGTGTTTTACCTTTAAAAACTGTAATTAGAGTGGGTGCCTTTTGCTGCTACAACAGTTTTGCGTACTCGACTCGGCGGGGTTGTCTTTCACGGTTCCCAGCTTTTAGGGGAAGAGGTGATGTGTTTGAAGTTGTCACGGAGACGTTTTAAAGGCGTGGAACTAAGTTCATGTAGAATCACACTCAATAGATTCGAGTCGCCCAGATAGCAGGCCTAGATAGCAGAGGGCCATTGAGGTGTTCGCTGGTGTTTGCTGCAACCCGCACAATTCCACACCGAGACCATCCATGTATGGAATAGTTACTGACCTACATTGGGGTCATAAATGGGGTAAATGTACAGTATGTAGGTAACCATTCCATACATGGATGGTTTGGGGACAGGTCTTGGGTGGCGTGCTTTGTGCCATGTGCTGTGCGCTTTGCTGTGCGCAAACACCTGCAAGGCGTTTGCCCTGGGGATGATGGAGGTGTCCTTCTTCTTGGTCTTGGGCCCCTCGACATGGCAACAGCGACAGCGAAGCTTTTTATCGGGAAATTTTGGGAGCAAGAGAACGGCACTGAGTTTGGTTGTTATGATGTTTTGTGTATTATGACCCCCAAATAGACAAACGATTTTCCATACAGTTGTAGTGGGGATCTACTATTCTATCTATATGGGGGTTTCTATTAATATGTAGTTATTCTCTTTTCGTGCACTGATGGTTTCCAAGGAGTTTCTGTCTTGGCTTTGGCATAATGTGGCAGTTGCACTCACTTGGACCTTTATGGCTTTATTTGTTTGTGTGACTATGTGTGACATTGTGTGACTTGTGCCTTTTTCTTCCACATCTTTCAACCCCACTTTGTGGCATCACACGAGCCATCTTGACATCGCACTAAATCCTGTAGGCCGGGATGATGCTTTTGGCGAGGGGTGTTTCCATGGATGTTGAGAGGACAAATGTTCCAGGACCTCCCAATGTGACCTTGAAAAACTTTGAAGTCTATAAGCCCAAGGGCTCCTGGCCTACATCCTGAGAAGATGGTTGGGCTGGGTGCCAGGAGGGTCCAACCACCTACCTTCTGAGGATATGGGCCAGGCGCCCGGGTCGGGAAGTGACCGCCCTAGCAGGCCTGTTTGTGACCTCATCCGATCTCAGTTCGTGGTGGTACTGGTATGCTCTTTCAGGCCACCTATGATTGAGCCATGGTTCTTCTGATATCTTCCATTCCCAGACACTCCATGGTACTGGCACGTTTACATACATTGGGGTGGTTTGGGAGGTCAACGGGGCGGCATATGTTCCTTGGAGTGTATGTCACCAGGCTTCGCCATCGACGTGGCCTTCATCGCTGACTTGATCTTCACCTTTTTCGCGCCTGGATCGCATCCGGCAGATTCCTGGGTGGCAGATTTTTTGAATTTTAGCAGCTTGTTGCTCCGTTCGTAGCGATGCCCTTGGTTACGTTGGTAGCGAACCTTGTTCCTAGCGTCCGATAGTTCCTAGGGCCTAGGGTTTGGAATCTCAAGCTACCAGCTGTTGACCCTGGATCTTCCCGATGTACTTGATCTCGTTTGAAGTCACTTACAGGCCTGTGAAAGGTCCTGGACTAAGGATTTTACACTACCAAACCAGGTCAACCATTTTGGGGGGAAGGCTAGGGAGAGGGATGTTGATTGATGTTGATGTGAGTGTCGGGAGTAGATCTGCCGACCTGGGCATGGGTGATGACTTCCGATGCCGAAGTCGTTCCCTTCCAGTCAGCCAACCGCCGAGAGAGACAAGTACTGTAGACACATTGGTTCCAAATCGCTTACGAAAACTGTTGTTGATGAGATAATCCCGTACCACTTGGAGCGACAGTAGTTGCGGGAGAACGTGTCAGTTTTGTTGTTTTTCCAAGATGGGTGCTGAGAATGCTTCTAGATATTTGTAGAAGTCCTAGCAGGTCCCAGAAGAAGCAATGGGTCTCCAAAACATGGGCACTTGCATCCCAACCGGTCTATTCTTGCATCGCCCTTCCTCTCAAGACAGGCTGATTAGCCTGTAACGTCACTCATCCCTGTGGGTCGGCGGGGTGGATTTCAAGGTCCAGATCCAGGTGCAAACTGCCACGGGCGTCAAGCGGGAGAGCAGCTTGAGCAGGACGCAATACCCGTTTACGTGTTG